AAAATTGTCTTGGATTCTGAATTTCTTTTCTATATTCAAACACTCATCCACAACTCCCTAGTTTTCACTCTCTTATTTGTCCACTATTTTTCTGAATGTGTGCTTCATTCTTTTCCTCTCTCTAGGCGTACTTTTCCGTGAATTGCAAACTTCATGGGAAGATGCAGAAAAATTCATATCCAAAACTAGTGGCGCAAACGGTTAGGTTAAGGTTGATTTCGTAAGTGAATACCAAAACCTTAAAAAAAAAAAAAAATCTCACATTTACCATCTTCTTTTCCTTTTTTCCCTATTTTGTTGGCTTAGCTAAAGTAGGGTTGGCAATGGGTCGGCCAGTGCCGGGCCTGTTCAACTTGGTCCTCTTTTTTCTTTATTTTTTCGTTATTTTTTAGATCCAGCCCAACCCTAATGGGCTCGTCAATTTCTTTAGAAATACAAGGAACTACATTTTATAAAAATTTAGTCATTTTTTGAAATTCTTTATTTAGAAACATAAGGAACTAGATTTTAAATTTTTTTTAATTATTAGGAATTGACTCAAGGGCTCAGGGTGGTGGGTGCCACAATATGACCTCTTGAGATTCATTTCTACCGGTACGAGACTTTATCCCCTCTGATGTATCCCTAAAAAAAGAAATTTTAATTATTGTTTGAAAAAATTATAGACCGGATCCAGCCAATCTAACCGATTCTCTAATTTGAACCACCGATCCAACTCAGTTTTTTGGAAGAATAATCCGGGTCAAAAATCCGTTTCAAAAAATATTGCATTTAATGATAGTTATTTAACAACATATAGAATCTCTCCCCCCTCTCTCTCTATAATAATACATCCTTGAGAAGTCCCTCTCTCTGTTTTTTTTTCAAGGATCAGAGTCTAAAAAGACGTGTTATTACAAACAGTTTTTTTTGGTCTCTTTTGCGGCTTACGTTGCTTGCATGGTGCATTAAAATCTCCATGATTCTCTCTTCTCCATCTCTATCTCATTGCATTTCTTTTTCACTTTATCTATGATGTTTTATTCCACTTTTCATATTTATTTATTGGTTAGTAAATGTTAAAAGTGAGCTCCAATCCATGATTAGTATTATTTTACAAACTCTTTTCTTGGATTAGGTAAAATCATTAGACTTTTAAGATCTAAAATCATCCTATAAGAAATAAAGTGATAAAAAGGAAATAAAGTGATAGAAGAATATTGGGCCAAATATGATTATTTATTCCATTTTTCCTATTTATTTATTTATTTGTTAGTGAAGGTTGAAAGGGAGGTAATTTGGACCATAGACCTTGTACAAGATTAAAAGTGAACTCCAATCCATGCTTAGTATTATTTTACAAAAACTTTTCTTGGGTTAGGTAAAATCATTAGAATTTTTAGATCTAATATCATCCTACAAGAAAAAAAGTGATAAAAAGAAAATAAAGTGATAAAAAAATATTGGATCATATACGATTATTTATTCCATTTCTCATATTTCTTTATTTCTTGGTGAAGGTTAAAGGGAGGTAATTCGGCACCAAGACCTTTTACAAAGTTTTGAAGGCAGCTCCAAACCAGGCTTAGTATTATTTTACAAATATGTTTCTTGGGTTATGTAAAATCATTAGACTATAAGATCTAGTATCATTCTATTTATGGTGAATAAATTATAAAAAGAATATTGTGTTTGATTTTCCCAAGATCAAAGGCAGCTTCAAACAAAAGTAGGGCTATCCACACACCCTCCTGCCTATTTAAATACATTTATTAATATATGAACTAGTTTATCAAGTTTCTTGCAGCTCGGTGCCGAAATTTTGCCTTCGGTTGAATTAGGAAGATTTCGGTTGAAACTTTCGTTGGAATCAACATATATGATCACTGTTGTAGTCCTGTAGATGAGTTTTTGGTTTCCAGTTCTAAGTTCATGGTAACTGTGCCGACTTTATATAGAAAAAGAGTAAGGTTTTCTAATATTTAAATTTTCTATGCATATACAAAGTTAAGATAAAAAATTTATTATAATTTTCCATTCCTTTTTATTAAAAATTATGAATTTTAATTATTGAAATAATACGTGCCCATTTAAGGGCTATGAAAATACTTTAATCTCACAATATGTGCTAATAAATAAAGTTTAACATATTCTCCTATCTATCCCGAGTCTTTAAATCTTTTTACTTCTTAGTAGAATTTAGGATTGTGATACTTTCTTTTTATTATTATATTATAAAAAGTTATTACTTTGTAAATAATCCAAATCTAGGGTGCAATTTGTATAAGCCGACAACATTACTTTTATCAGCAAATACATCATCCATTTTAGTTAGTTGGACTTTACTTTTACCAGTAATCTTTTAAAAGTACGGTTACAGTGTTTTATACCGTTCATTTTAGTTAGTTGGACAGTATAGATTTGACATATCTTTTAAAATAGTATAAAAAAAGTAACGTCTTTTTAGAGTGTTAGATCCATACAGCTCAAAATAAAGCAAATAGTGTAGATTAATACAACCTCACTTCTACTTACTTCTATATGTAAGGCTGTATCCTTATGTAAACCTTTTTCCAATGTAAAATATGTAACTTTATATATTTTTAAATAATTAGTGCACCTAAAAAGTCTTCCAACAAATAACATTATGATATTGGAGAACCCTTTGATTGATCATCTTAACCTCGAAATGTATGGATATGAAGATAAAGAAAATTTGAAGTACTAAAAATATTACATCTCGTATTACGTATCTGGACCATCAATTTTCAAAAGTCTATACATCTACTTGATCTATACCACTTTTTAAATTTTAAATTTTATAACTAGAAAAGATAGATTTCTAAGGCATCTTAAAGTTTCCAACACGAGGACTACACCCCCAAACAAATATTAGAGGTACGCCTTCTTCAACATTACAAGGAGGACCCTTATCCTCATTCATATATGTATTCTATTGTTGCTTCATAATACTTGGTAGCACAAAGCATTGGTATCCTTAACACTGTTGCACTTCCTCATTCCTCATATAAAATACCTCTTGCTAAAAGACGCACAAGGGGAGCAAGTTTTCTACACCCATTTTCTAGTAATTTACTAGATATCCTATAATTTAAACTCTATCCAATCTATTTAATGTAGACGTTAATATACCATAATTTTTAAATATTAAGATTGACAAGACATGTCTGTACATCATTTAAGAATTATTTGACACATGTAAGATCAGTATGCCAAAACTCCCTCTTCCACAAAGGTGGAAGCCGCCCCTTACATTATTTAGCATGGAAATAGACAGCAACGAAGGCTCCCACGTAACAAATGCAGGAGTGCACAAGTTGGGGCACTGGGATCTTCCACTTCCCAAAAGTTTCGCCAGTCAAAAATGCCCTCAATGTGCGATTTCAGGAAACAAATATTTTATAACAACATTTCAAGAAGAAATAAGTAAAAGAAATTTCCAAGTCTCATGAAATGTTGGACACATGCATCGTATTGTTAATGTGCCAACCGCGGTAAAAACTATGAATGCACATGTCGCTAATAACATGAAAAAGTTTAAATTGGTTCAGGCTACTTGAACAAAGTGGGATGTAACTATGAATGTGGATCCCCAGAATGAATGTCACATGTATGATAAATTAAATCATGTAAATTATTTGTGCGGTTTTCTTTTTCTTGTTTTTTATTCGTTGAATGGTTAAGGTTGTTATAGTCCTGCTTTTCGAGTCTTAGGGCTTCTAAGCACAACACTTACTTTGCACCTTTTTAGGAGTGAAATTCGATTTGTAGGGCTGAATATATATATATATATATATATATGAAAACCCTACAAAATGCTTATAGATGAAGTTTTACCGTTCTTCACTTATAGATTTTTTATCGTGCAAAATTTATCACATGGTGAAAGATGTCTGATAGTATTTTAATTTTAATTTTAATTTTTTTCAAATCATAATGATCTGAAAATTTGTAAGAGTGTATACGTTAGTGAGATACACATGAATAAAATATAAAACAAATAATTTGAATGATAAAAATTACACAAAACATCCCTATAAAATTTCAAGGGTAATTTTATCATTTTATTTTATGACTATTATTTTTTTAATAATTTAGTTTGCTGCAATTTAATCATATGTACACACACCCTAAATTTTAGAAAAATCTAACGCGTACAATAATCATAGGATGAACTTTGGACGGAAATGAAG